GGGGGAGAGGCACCCGGGTCAAAAAACTCTAGGCCGTGTCCGAAATAGGGGGGGTCTTCTTCGATGCCCTCCTATATTGAGCCACCTTCTAAGTCTGAGGAGGAGGAGTATGTTCCTGATGGTGAGGAGGAGGAGGGGGAGGAGGAGGAGTGCGAGGAGGAGGAGTGCGAGGAGGAGGGTGAGGAGGGTGAGGAGGAGGGTGAGGAGGAGGAGGGCGAGGAGGGTGGTGGAGTGGACGTTGACCCCGAGTTGTGGGGTGACTTGTCGTCGGGTGCTCCGAAGGGGTGGCTGCGTGGTATTGCTGGAGTACCTACACCACCTTCTATCGAGGTGCACAAGTGGCTCATTGAATCGGCAGGGACAGAGTAAGTGCCTCACAATCATATTTTCAACACATGACCACATTTTCTTATTGTACACATGCCAAATCTTTGATTGTTTTGCAGGAACTGGATCCTTCACGGAAAGGACCGTAAACCGAACGGCCTTATCACTACCCTGTTGAAGGAGTATTGGTCGGGCCTATTCTGCCCATGGCCAGACAGGGACCCGGATCTACGGGTTTTGGCCACGAGCTGGGCCCACTACGAGGCTTCTAGCCATGCGGACTACGGGACGGCCGCTAATGCCGTGATCACCAAATTTTGGGTAAGTTCTCTTCTGAATCACTTGTCTTCAGTTTCGTTCATAGTTTATCATTGAATCACTCAACTCACTCAACTAATGCCTTGTTTGCTTCCGGTTTTATGCATGATTGCAGGAACTCTATAGAGTTCTTGACGAGCACAAGGCCACAGCCGACGTGGTCTTGCTGGCGGCGGCAGAGAAGAAAGCTCGTCAGTTGCAGTACGACGTGTGCTGGGTTGCCGTCTCGCACTACTACCACAACTACCTTCATCAAAAGATGAGCAAAACTGAAGAGCAGAAGCAACGACTTACCTTGACCAAGGAGCAGTTCATGAGGGTAACTATGACGGACTTTTCATTCCAACATATAAGTAGTCAACTTAGTTGTTTCGTGCTCACATTTCATGCTTCCATTTCTAGGTTATTCCTCCTTGGTGCTATGGAAATGTTGATAGATGGGCGAGTTTGGTGGATAGGTGGCTCAGTGAAGATGGAGAGTTTGCTGCCAAGAGCAGCAAGTCCCAGACTAACCGTGGAAAAGACGGGACACAAGGCCAAGGAAATAGGAACCACTGGGGCTTCAAAGCCATGAAGGTATATGTATATGCATGATGCATTTTTGTTCTTCTTTTTACCATTATGTTCTTATGTATGGCTAACTTCTTTTTGATGTTGCAGGAGGACAAGTTGAAGAGGCCGCTCTTAGACATGGAGTCGTGGAAGATGGCCCATGAGCGGAGTGATCGCAAGGCCAGCGAGAGCGAGTACTACGTCAAGACCGAGGAGCACCTGTAGTATTACACTCAGCACTTTGAGAGGTTGCATCCAACTGGTCTGGATGTTCTTGGCGCTGCCCAGTCTCAGATCGACGACACGATGGTGGTGGCCATCAAGGGGAAGCCCCATGGCTGCTACCCGTGTTTCGATGGCTTGATCACTCCTTCAGTCTCATACACATGGCTTCGGGCTACCAACCCGAGCCCGTTAGGGAGTACGGGGCATTCGCAGCCTCCCTTAGCCCGCCAGCATGCTGTAAGTACTTCCCCCTAATCTTCTCTCTCTTTAAATTTCTCAGTTTATTTTCAGCACTGCCCACTTAGAAACAACCTAAATTTTGTAGGCATATAAGGCCTTTGTCGAGCATAGGAATCTTGAGGTGCGGGAGTACTTGCAACGAGTGAAGGCAAATGATGATTACAACCATCAAGTGATGACGGTTAGTTTTGCCCTCTTAAAACCAAGCTAAAATTTGCACTTTCATTCCTTCTGATCTGCTAGTTTGCTTGTTTAACTAACATCCAGGCTATGTTGGCGTCTTGGACTAACAGCACG